TTTTGTTAGTTCCGTATTCTTTCAATTTCATTTTTATTAATTTATAAATAAACCTAACTTGTCATGTTTCCCATCTAAAGTAACAAATAGCATCCATAGTCATGTTCAGTATAACAGTACTCTGTAGAGTGGAAGAAACATCAGGATCAGTACTGGAGGTGGAGTAGGTTTACTTGTATTGAGATTCTTACCTGGCTAGAAAGTTTCTTCTCACAGAAGCGAAAATACATTGATGCAAGAAGCAGACATATCCCGTGTCCCCAGTCTCCGAACATGACGGCAAATAGGAAGGGAAATGTCACAATTGTGAAAACACCTGGATTTGCTTCTTGATATTTTGCGACCCTATACAAATAATCTATAAGATACTCTGATATAGCAAACTTACAATTGCATAAGGGCTCAAATTAGTCGAATATATAAGTATTACTTCCTCTGTCCCATTTCATTTATCCCTTTAACTATTCATGTGGTCAAACCAACTCTTCTTTATTACCTAATATTCTACAACACATTTTTTATCATATTCGAATTAGTTTGTAATGAACTTCTATCGAGCTTCGTAATCCAAAAAGCCTAGGGAGTGTGAGTTTTTAGTTTCAGTTACAAAACCTTCTAAAGAAACACTAATTACTAGGTTATTCCTTTTGGATAATTGGTAGTTACTACTGCTACTCAGCGCACCAGTTTCATCTGGTCGGCATCTTAACACTAAGCCTCAGGTTATGAAGTGGGCTTCAATAGGTGCCTGATAAATGAATTCGAGGCCACTGGATAAGTGCATTTAAACAACCATCCAACATTTAAGCGCCTCCACAAACATCCCATGAACGTTTATGACTAAACTATCCACACATATGAATAATCCATCATGTCCACTATATGTGATGTTACTATTACTCACCCATATGCCTCAACAATTTCTTGGAAAGCAGAAGTAAATTTGTTAGTACGGAAATAAGTGGGTGGTGATTCTGTGGTATGCAACACCTGGAACACAGTCCCAACTTGTGAGTTACAATCTAAAGCTGCCCGGTCCAATGCAGCTTGTACCTGCAAAGCCATGCCAAAAATCATTTAATCATCAATCTGAACTTAACCAAATAAAACTTCAAAATACATGCAGTGAGAACTGAAGCCAAGCATCTGAACTGGGAGCACACTGGAAAATAATCATTCTATAACATCTGAGACTAATGAAAACACAAATGATTTGTAATAATTACCAATCAATCCTAATAAAAGTTGTAGGATCGAAAAACTTTAGGTAAAATGAGAACAATTCTTATAGTGAATGCACACAAAAGAAATAAAAGCTGGACTTGTTATGTTATTCTTATTTTTTAGAAAGGAAATACACACATAGAACTCACTTCTTTAATTACCTTAAAAACATAGTGCGCACCCTTATTTACTACACAGACTACACAGTCTGAACCAAATTTATTTAAAAGAGATCAAAGTCAGCCTTTATTGTTTCAAAAGCAGCCCCAAAAGTATGATTACTCACATTAAAATAAGCTTCACAATAATATTCGATTTCAAAATCAGCTTCTAAAAATTCTCTGCTATCTTGAAAATCAACTACAAATTGAGTTTCTTTTCCAAACGAGACTGAAGTTCAATTTTAAAAACAGCCCTAGGTGTTTCACATGTATTCCAAAAAGTAACTTCAAATTCGTATTCTGTTTCAAAACCAACTTGAAATATATACTCTGTTTAAATTTATTCATATATATTTTGTTTTAAAGAAATTCCAATTAAGAACACAATTTCTTCATTTAAAAGTGCAGATTGTTGGAATAACAAGAAACACTCCAATACTCCCCATTCTTGAGGTGTTAATCCTCCATCAATCCTTCCTCAAATTTATATTATTTTGAGAGAAAATATTTGTTTTTAAGAGAGGTTTCTTGTCATCTATTAGAGCTTTAATCTTTTCTCTTATCTACTCTTTTGAGAGCTATTGTTGAGAGGTTGAAGAAGATTGTTCTTCTTGTTGTTCAAGGCTTATGTGATTTAAGTCTTGGTTGTGAAGTCTTGTAGAGGGCATATCTACGAGCGGTTGTGTCGAGGCTTGTGGGATTCAAGTTCTTGAGTTGTAAACGGTTTGTTAAGCACCCGTAAGCTTAACGGAAGTAGTGGTAGCTTCGAGAGAGTCTCTCGGCGAACTGGACTAGCCACGAGGTGGTGAACCAGTATACATCGGTGTGTTCTTTCCCTTCTCTATTTTATTTCCGCTGCACTTACGTTTATATTATTAATCCTGCGAAAATCGGTAATCATTCTCAACAACTCTATTCACCCCCCCCCCTAGAGTTGCACGCCTTGTCTAACAATTGGTATCGGAGCGGGTATCTCTAACGCTCTTTGTGACGTTTGAGAAAACGATCAATTTTTTTTTGAGAATGTTGAACGCAGGGATAGGAGAAGGGCAATCCACCGTAAGGCCGCCATTTTTTGATGGAACAAATTACTCATATTGGAAGGAGCGAATGAGGATTTTTGTTCAATCAAACAACTTCAAAATTTGGCTTGCTATCAAGAATGGAGATAGCTTACCGATGAAGAAGGTAGGCGAAACACTCATCCCGAAGGACGAGGATGAATATGATGAATCCGATTTTAAAAAGGCTCAATTGAATGCCACCGCCATCAACTTCTTGTATTGTGCGGTCAACGCCAACGATTATCAAAAGATATCTCGTTGCCAAACCGCTAACCAAATGTGGAACAAGCTCATGATCACATACGAAGGTACGCCTCAAGTTCGTGAATCAAAAATTGATTTACTAACCCATGAATATGAGTTATTTGCTATGAAAGAGAACGAACTTGTGGAGGACATGTTTGAAAGATTTTCAAACATCGTCAACGACCTTGATATGCTTGGAAAGACGCTCACCGACAAGGAGTTAGTGAGGAAAATCCTGCGAAGTCTTACCAAGGAATGGGAGTCGAAGGTAAACTCCATATATGAAGGCCGAGATTACAACGTCATCACATACGACGGTCTCCGAGGTAACCTTATCACTTACGAAACAAATCATCTTTCGCATACTCTTGACGTTAAGAAGAGAACGGGAATTGCTTTTAAAGCATCTTCTCAAAAAGTAGAGATCAATGATTCGGATTCGGATAGTGATAGTGATTCTAGCACTTCTTGTGATATTTTGGTTGAATGTTTTAACGAGTTTATGAAACATGAGCTTAATATGAGCAAGAGGAAAAACACCTCAAGGTGTCATACGTGCGGAAAGCTTGGCCACCGTAAATTTGAGTGCCCGAAGCTCAAGAAAATGAGCAAACAAGATGAATTTGCGTATTTTTCGTGGAGCTATGAACAACCTTCCAAAGACGATTTCCTCATCGGCGTTGAAGAACAAGATGGGTGGTCGGGCACGTGACACACTTGAAAGGTGTGCTTGAAGACTACAAATTTGTAGTGGATGCTCCAAGCACTTAGCCAAAGAGATTGCATCAAAGGGGAGTAAATTCTTTTTTTTAATTAAATGTTATCTTTGAGATTTATATGAATTTATTTGGGGAATATACATAGGATGTTTTGCATATAGTACGGGGGAATTTATTGCTATGTGTTAATATTTTTTTGTATGCTTGAATTTTTAAGGGGAGGTAGCATACTTTAAGGGGGAAGTATTTTATTTCCTAGAAGTGCATGATTTTAGGGGGAAAGTGATTTTTCTTAATTGCTTAGAAATTTTTTTCTCTCCCTAGAATGCATGAGTTCTTTTGTTGCATTATTTTTGATAATGCCAAAAGGGGGAAGAGTATAGGAGTATATGCTTTAATTTGTTATTTGTTGGTAGCATATCCTCCATGTGTTTGTCATTATCAAAAAGGGGGAAATTGTTGGAATGCATGAGTTCAACCCTTTTTGTGTTGTTAAGTGTTGACTCACAGGTTTTGATAATTGACAAACACAATTTATTCAAGTCAAGATCAAAGTGCTACAACGACAAACACGAAGACTTGAAGTGCCATTCCTTGAAGTATTCAAGAAGGTGCACAGGATTTTATTGGAGTTCGAGACGCGTTGGGAGCGCCTAACGGAGGACTCGGAGGAGTAGAAGATTTCCGAAGACTTTTTATTTATTTGAGTCTTAGGAATTTTTGTAAGGATGACAAAAATATCTTTTCTCCAAAATTATTTTATGAGTGTTAAAATAAAAATTATATTTATTTTTGGAGTCAGTTGAAAAATCTTTTAACTGTTCAAAATAGTTTTTATTGAGTCAGTTACAAAAGGTGTGCCAAACATTTATCAAATATTTATTTTGATATTATAAAATATTTTTGCCAAGCAAAAATATTTTATTCAAATATTTTTCGTGTACATCGTTTGACACAAAATATTTTTGGACTCACTTTACTCCCTTATTCAAATTCATTGAATAAGAGAGGAGGAGCGCTTCCCTGATTCCCAATGTCTCAAACAACGAATGTTACGCCAATTCTGCTCTCCTTCGCAACTGGCCTTGGGCCCTTTGTGTATGCGCATTATTTCTTTATTAATCGATTAACATTTCTACATTAATCGATTAGATCTTGTTTCACTTTAACTTAATCGATTAAACCTTAAGTGCTTAATCGATTAATTATGTTGTTTAGCGTTGGATTTCTCAGGTCTTGAGGTTAATCGATTTTTTTCTTCCTTTTAATCGATTAGTTTTCACAGAACCTTCTAATCGATTAATCCCTTTAATTTAATCGATTATTATGCTGCATCTTTTCTGCACAGCTTCTTTTCTTGGACCAACGGATATATTTCTTCACCTCCTATTTAAACACTCTTCCTTGGTCATTTTTCATAACAAGAAACACTCCAATACTCCCCATTCTTGAGGTGTTAATCCTCCATCAATCCTTCCTCAAATTTATATTATTTTGAGAGAAAATATTTGTTTTTAAGAGAGGTTTCTTGTCATCTATTAGAGCTTTAATCTTTTCTCTTATCTACTCTTTTGAGAGCTATTGTTGAGAGGTTGAAGAAGATTGTTCTTCTTGTTGTTCAAGGCTTATGTGATTTAAGTCTTGGTTGTGAAGTCTTGTAGAGGTCATATCTACGAGCGGTTGTGTCGAGGCTTGTGGGATTCAAGTTCTTGAGTTGTAAACGGTTTGTTAAGCACCCGTAAGCTTAACGGAAGTAGTGGTAGCTTCGAGAGAGTCTCTCGGGGAACTGGACTAGCCACGAGGTGGTGAACCAGTATACATCGGTGTGTTCTTTCCCTTCTCTATTTTATTTCCACTGCACTTACGTTTATATTATTAATCCTTCGAAAATCGGTAATCATTCTCAACAACTCTATTCACCCCCCCTCTAGAGTTGCACGCCTTGTCTAACACAGATTTGGTTATCTGAATTTGAAGTGCATAAAAACCAGAGAGTGCAGCAAAGAAAAATTATACTCTCTAGGTAAACAATAAAGGGAGTGAGCACATGATTAAGGATAACTAAATTAGGTTTTTGAAGAAGAAAAAGCTGGGAAAACAAGAAGAATTAGAGGAAGGCTTGAGGGAACTACAAACTGAGTACTTGTAACCAGAATCGGAACGAAGTACTCGTTTGTTTAGAAATTTGCTCTTAAAGGTGCTATAATTGTATTTCAGAAATTCAAGGGAGTATTATTATTCATTCAAATAGACACTAAGCACATGTTTTAAAAGAGTAAATTAAATAAGTCAAAAGACACAGGACATGGGTTCTCATATATGCTAAAACAGAGTTAATCTTTAAAAACTACAATTTTCTTTTTAAGTGTGGAGAGATAGAACTATATTTCTTATTTTCCCAACAAGAAGCATAGATTTGATAATAAAATTTCTCTAACAATGAGGTAATCTTCTACACAATTAGTTTTCTAATATTAAACGCTAGTTCGTATTTTAAGGCGCGTGAATTGAGCACTGAATCTGGATAAGAAATCTTAGGCAAGGAAAAGGTTCTAAACATATTTAGGACATAAAAATCAGTCCCTTAATATGCATAAAAATTCTGGGTATGGCAAAATATCAGAAAATGTGAAATATCAACTGTAGCCTATTCCAGAATAAAATTTCTAAGCCTATTCTTAACAGACCTGTCAGTCCAGCTTTAGTGTAATCAAAACATGTTGTCATGCTAAGCACCCACACACATAGTATATTCCAGGCTAGCTTTAACAATAGAACCATTATATATTTTAACAGACTTCTAAATATCAAAGCAAGAACAAATACAAGATAACAGTATTAACTAATGAATTTTGATGTTCTTGTAGGCCTTCAGTTAAATGAATTATGAAATACATAAGATTAAGTTTTTTGTTCTAATCTCATGTTGGGAAAATAAGAAAGAACATAACTTTACTCTTTTGTTGATAAGAATTTCATGTGCGCCTGAATTGATAAGAATTTGGGTACTAAATACCCAAATTCTGGTTGAAGATTTAAAAGAAGAGGAAGGAGACACAGAATTGGTAAGAATTACAAGGAAGGAGACACAG